CTAGTGAAACGCTGGGAGCGCTAGATCGATAGCTATGCTTCCCGTGCCCTCGCTACGCTAGCGTGCGCGTAGCTAGCGTACGCTGGTGACGCTGGGAACGCTAGATCGATATCTATCCTTTCCCCGACACTGCCGCTGGCGTACGCTGGAAGCGCTACGCTACGCTGCCGCAAAGTATAAACGCAGCCTTACGTACTGTCGGGGCGGCACAGCCGCGCTGCACTGTGACGCGACAGCGGCTGCGGCTCGGTGACGGTGAATCAGCTGATTTCGATGGAATTCGGCTGCAAATTCCCACTTTTTCAGCTCTTCAAGCTTCTAAAGTGGAAGGTGAGTTATTCTGAACAATTTTGAATTGTACTGGCTCTGATTTCCTTTATTTTTATGTCGATTATTATGCTCTTTTCCTTGTATTTTGCCTTATTTCAGGCATTTATTCAAATGGCTTACATTCTTTCAGATTCATTCAGAGTCAGTACAATTCAAAATTGGTCAGAATAACTCACCTTCCACTTTAGAAGCTTGAAGAGCTGAAAAAGTGGGAATTTGCAGCCGAATTCCATCGAAATCAGCTGATTCACCGTCACCGAGCCGCAGCCGCTGTCGCGTCACAGTGCAGCGCGGCTGTGCCGCCCCGACAGTACGTAATGATGAGGACTGTAGCACCATCAGTAAAACGGAAAAATAACGAAAAGTTAACAACCTGGAGAGAAAAATGTTTCCCAACGCCACCTCTGTCAATGGCTACGACCCCCTCCCCTTATAGCGTCCGCGAAACAAGAAAAATCAACTATCAAAAAAATCATAGACGAAATACGACCCCTCTCCTCGACCAACGACCCCGCGAGGAATTCCCAAACGTACGACGTGGTCTGGTGGAGGCCATACCCATTTGGGGATGAGAATGAGTTGTTCCAGCGTTCCTATATTTACTCATAAGCTCTGGAGCTGTGCGCTGCTTCAATCTGTGTAGGAGCAACCTTTGTCGTCCCGCTCGCATTGCTGTTCTTCTTCCTGCTCTCTCATCCGTTGTCCCTATTCTCTCGCCCGCGCAGCGGTGTCTCGCTTTTTGGGATAGTCGTCCAATCTTGGGACATTATTGACGAGTCTGACGGCTTTCTTCACTACTTCACTAGTAAATCAACTGATATCTACGAACTCTTATTTGAGTCCCATAGCCCACGTGCTGCAATTGCGAAATGTGTTTCTGAAGAATCTAAGGTCTCACGTGATCTGGCAGTGTAGTACTTCGAATTCCTTGAGGAAGTAGGGCGCATGTCCAGTATTGAATTCATCTCGCTAAAATCAGTTCATTCAGAATCTTGTGGCTGGTATTGTGATTCAGAGTGAGCGTCGCTTTGACGAAGGTCGGCTCTTGACGAGCATTCAAAGAGCTCCTCTTGTAAAACTTCAATTATCATGATACAAAATCCCTTTTTGCATAAAAAGCTCACATTCAAAAGCTGTATTGGTCTTCGAGACTATACGAAATCGAAGCATACCTTCCAGATACGAACGGAGTTGACACTCTAGGCATGCGAGGACCAGTATCGGGGTCCGAAAGCTGGGTGGAGCCTAAAGTTTCAAAATAAAACTAGGCATTTTGTAACTACTAGCAGCAATTTTAGCGTGATATTCAACCAGACGTTCTGAAGAGCTGGGTAATCTGCGACCATTCTTGGGAAAACGGGATGATCAGGGTAGCTTACAGTCAAAGACTCCCAAGTACTGAGGTCCATTTCCTCCTCAATGGTCCACCCCC